ACTTGTGTCGCTAAAGTTTCGTCGGAACGAAGTTACGGAAAGTTAATTAACAAACGGAGACGTAACAATATGTATTATTTTGTTTTTAGGAAAGTTAAAAACCACTTTTCGTCTGTTTTAATGTACCTAGAATTAAATTACCCTTCTTACTTTGTTGCAGAAATGTATCTAAGATTAATTTAATAAAAAGGAAAAGTCAATTAGAAACAGACAAAATAAAGTTTAGTTGGCTTTAACAAAAAAGGAAAATTAATACAGTATATTTAATAGCCACACTTTATAAAGCAAAATGTTAGACAAGTTGTGTGTTTTTGAATGTAATAAAAATAATTTTAAAGATTAACATATACTGAAAGTTGTACTAGTTTTTTAATATTAAGATTAAGTGGAATATACTTGTCCTGTCCTAGGCTCCTAGCTAATTTAGACTCTAGTTTATATTGTTTTTTAAGATCTTATCTATAATATGGAACTTCACTGTTAGATACACACGACTGTTTTAATTTAAGTATAGCGCGAGTGTTAAATTTAGTTATTTTCAGATGCTGTCATTTATTGCAGGTTTGTTTACGTAACTGTGCAAGTTGTACATTGTGTAGTTCAATTGTTGTATTATTGTATCATGTTACTAGAACATTCTAAGTTTTCTTGAGTATTATTACATCATATCTTGTAGTGTGTGGAAAGTTCTAGGCCTCAGTTGGGACATATATATATATATATATATATGTGTGTGTGTGTGTGTGTCTAAAATGTAGTTCAAGCAAGACAAAGTTAGTGAGAGATATAATCAAATAGATCTAGACTGTGTGTGTTTATAAGTTTAGCTGTACAGAGCGTATAGTGGTGCTTTTTTAAAAAATGCAGTTATCACAGATAGTATTGTAATAACAAGGTAGAAAATATTAATTTGTCTTATCAATTGTGTTCTAGAGTAATTGAATACACTTGTGTGGACTTGTTAGTGCATACTCTTTTTATAGTTTTTCTTGCTTAGAATTCCCGATTTAAAAAATCCATTAACATAGAAATCCAACTTGTAACATAAATATATACTTTATGCCACATTTTCTGTATGGTTTTAAGAATTTTGTTTTGTATAGATGATATTATTATTTTTTCTCAGGTAAACTACAAGACATTTTTTAAATTTCATATAAAGTGACCATTTCTAATTTTTAGGCTTGCAAACATGGATTAGTACAGCATCTAGAACATCTTTTGTTTTATGGAGCAGACATAAACTCCCGCAATGCCAGTGGCAACACTCCTCTCCATGTGTGTGCAGTAAATGACAAAGAAAGTTGTGCTCGAGTTCTGCTTTTCCGAGGTGCTGATAAAAATGCCTTGAACTATGCTAACCAAAGTCCATACCAGGTAGCAGTGATAGCAGGAAACCATCATATGGCTGAAATAATACAAAACCACAGGCCTGAAGATGTGGGTAAGGGTTACACATTCAATTTTTAGAAACATATAAATTGCAATTTATAAGTTAAACATTTTCTTTGGCAGTATTATTGTGAAAAACACAATTTGGATCTAATAAATCACTGTATTATAAGAGTATGATTGCAGGAAGTTGTATTTAGTTCATTACTTTTTAAATAAAATATTATCATGTAAGTTGAAAGTTTTTAACTAAGTTATGTTGGAAATTGTGTAACATTTATGATGTTATGTAACATAATAGCATTCAAATTATCGGCAAATTATAGTATTACTCTTCATCATTTATTTAATTTTTTTACATATATATTATAATTATTTATAACTTAAGAGCAGTTTGAAATGTTTTAAAGCTTATAACTGTTACTGGCAATACATATTTTGTTTATAACAGTAACAGAAACATCAAAGGAAGTATTGTACATTTTGTAACATTTTACCAAACTTTCGACAACCTAAAATACATATAGCATTATGGAGCTACAGCTAAGACCAGCAAAGAACTTTCAACCACTTCATTTTTTCAATAATTTTTTATATTTTTGGTGTTTCCAAACCTTCATGTACAACTTTCTTTTATATTGTTACGTCTCTGTATGTTTGTTTGTTAATTCTTCTAAGATACAAGTCCTTTCTTTACAAAACTTGTTTATTCTTCTTCAGTACAACTTTGTAATGTACATAACTTTTCACAGTTACACACACTATAGTTCACAACGATTCACTCACTTTCTATCGCGCTTAGACTTAATTGTCCGTCCCCGCAAACTATAGTTCCGATCTCTGTGTCTGCTATCCTCAGTTCCCGCCGACCCTTTCTCTCTGCCTGCTTCGTCTCTGCCTCCGTCTCCACTACTGCTTCGACTCCGTCTCCCCCTCTCTCACTGTCTAGCGCACTTATATACGATAATACTGCCTGTTCTAGAAACTTCTAAGACTCTCAACACGTGCTACCAGCGTCAATTGACTCCCGCTGTCGCAACACACTATGGAATCTTCTAGAATATTCGTCACGTGACCCCGCTGTCGTAACACACTAGCGAATCTTCTAGAATACTCGTCACGTGACCCCCACTGTCGTAACAATATAGTTTTTAAAGTTCCCGTAATTCTCACATTTTTTTTACATGTACCACAATCTAAGTAAAAGGTACAATGAGTGAAATCTTGTTGATATTGGTTCCAATAAAAAAAAAAAAAATTATCCAAATCTATCTAACCAGTATAATTTCTTTTCTGTTATTATTTTAACATGCTCTTATTTGGAAGAAACATACTAAGTTGCATATAAAATCAAGATAAAACCCCAAAATGGACATAACAAAACGTAAAGTAGAAAATAAAAGTAAAGAGACATAAATATAATTGCAAATGGCCTTTTGAAATAAAATCTAAAATAAACATAATAGATGAAAGTGAGGAAATATATTGTATTGTTACTGAAGAATTTGATTAGTTTTTATTTTATACAATTTTATATTCACTATTAACTGAGCCTAGCAACAGATGTGTTTTAACTTCACAGATAACCTGTACTGTACTTGTTTGTTTACAAAATTGAGAGACTGTTTACTGCTGATGATAAATCATTTTAAAAATATACCAGTTTATTTCTGTGTAATCTCTTTTTTATATTCTTATTTGTATCACATTTTAGATATAATACTTTTTGTAATAAGATAATCTTTAAAGTTTATATCAAGAAAAATGTTAATGAATCAATTAAAATGGATTATAATTTAAAACAGACAGTCTGGTAACACAAATGGTTGAATATGTTGTATAAGAACAATCTTGGAGCCTTACCACATCAGTGCAGCTCATGGTGTCACATCCAGTCATGGTCTATCTCACAAATGTACATCTTCAAAATAGCCCTGAAGTTTAGATTCCTTTGCAAAAGCCTCTCTTATAAGACTTTCATGTCCAAAAGACAACACTCTTTCCAGAAAGCCTTCCATAATCTATCTAGTATGCAGTGACAATGGTTTTCCAGGCCTTTCAACAGTCCATTTGTACAGAAGTCCAGATATACTGTATACAGTGATTTATCTGGTATGTCATTATATGGAATAGTGTGAATACTCATTTCATTTTCCTGTTGCTTGGGATATATGACATTGAACAGGAAGATGTCTGGAAGCCTTGTCTTAGTGAATCAATACTCTGTTGGCCTCATTTCCATTGAAAGCTGGTATTTCTGAATGGTGCAAAAAGTCTAGAACATTGGTCTTATAGTAAGCAGAGTTCATCTTGATTTTTTTATCCACTCTTCTGATCCCTAATTTGCCACTTTGAAAAAGTCTTGCAACATGCTGTGTGCCACATATAAAAAAATTTTCTACTCATTTTCCAGTTAAAAGTGGCATGATAGTTGTTGTTATCAAGGTACACATATGCTTCATCAAGTGTCACCATATACTCTCTCTTTCCCCAAGTAGGTACAATTCATACATTTTTCTACAAAGGTCTTCCTTTCCTGGATATGTCATGAAATCACTTGTGTATGCATGACTTGTGTCACCATTCCAGATGGAAATTCCTCTTAATTATGTTGTGTACTGTTGCCTAGGATATGTGGATGATTTTTACCTTTGTTGACCATGGCTGGGGTAAACTTGTTTAGTGTCTCTTTCTGGATGGTCCTGGTTCCCCAAGTTGATTCACATTCCTTTATTTTCCAATGTCATTAAGTACACATAAGGACACCCCTGTCTTGGAAATTCCAAATCCCCAACCATTTTTATGATCTGTGTGTATGAATATTTTGCATTAGGAATGGCTGTTACATACCCTTCCCAAAAGCGATAAATATTTGATGACATCACTCTATCTAGGAGGTGCCAAACAATATCAAAATGTAGTTTTGACACTTGCCATTTCACAACTTCATACTGGCTGTAATTGTCACATGACTTACTGATTTGCAAATGTAATCTTTTTTAATATAATGTACTCAACCATCTGTAAAAATGCTGGTTATAAACTTTGAAATATCATGTTTCTTAAATTATTTGTTATTCATAAATTTTCTGCTACAGTTCCATACAGAGAGACTCCAGAGTATAACTTTCGCAGGCGGGCTAGTATTGCAGCTGTGGCAGCATTTAGTCACACTGACAGTGAATCACACCTTGATTTGGCACTTGGTGAAAAACCACCCTCTCCATGTCCCTCCTATCGCTCACTGCCTCCATTCTCCTCTGCTTCCACAATCTCAGAGACATCAACTGGTTCCTCATCCACCTGCACACAAATTAGTGGGGAAGATAGTGAAGATACAGCATCAGCAAGCGTGATAACAGGTATTTTTTTTAATGTAATTATTAAACTTCCTTCTTTTGAGGTTGGGAGCATGTAGAAACTGATCTGAAAATAAAAGCAGGGGTTAATATGATGTGATTGTGCAACACTAATTCAAGTAATTCAACAGGCTAGTCATGTAACATAACAGAAAATATATCCAGAAACCTTAATTGCTTAATAATTAAAACTATATAAGTTTTCATTCCTTAACTTTATTTTATTTTATCTTCAGAAAAAAGTGTCACTAGTGATTCGTCAGGTGTGTGCACAAGTAACAGTGGTGCAAGTGAATCTGCTACTGAACATGGAGACAGCCCCATCCTTCCTGGCACTACATGTGTATGTGTGGAGGATTATTACCCATGTAGCCCTGGTAACCTTCAATTAACAAGAGGAGATATTGTAGATGGTAATTTTTTTCTCTCTCTTGGCTAATTTCTTTTTTGTACATTTTTACATCGAATATTTTTACAAGTTTTAAATTACTTGCTTTGACTTGGATTTTGTCTTTACTTTTCAAGTTTTTATATTTTAATGTATGCTGAGGTCTATCTTCAAATTCAAAACAATTTGTTAAAAACCTGAGTTTTATATATTTTCCACTTGTTTTTTTAATAGTTATTGGTGTCTCTGACTGTGGATTGCTTGAGGGTAGACTCAGAAATGGACTGGAAGGTTTATTTCCAGCTTCAAGTGTTCAGGAAGTTAAACTGAGAAAAATGGAAGTCCTGCCTCCAAGTGGCCAACCTCGAGTAGAAGGACGAAGAGAACTGAATGCTAGAAAGATTAACACTATTCCTAGACGATGGAAAATGTAAGCTCTTTGCCTTTTGCTGTTATTAATATAATGAACTTAGTGAGAAGAATATATTTCTTTTATAGTTTTTTTACATACCTTATAGAGAAATTCCAAGTAAGATTAAAAAAAAAAACTTATTCTCCAAGACTTGAACCCAGAACTTCTGACTTGTAGAGCAGATAATCAACCATTTAGATGTAAAAACTTAAGTCTGTCACCATTAAATATAACAATTATATTATCTCCCACTCTTTATATCAATAAGTTGACCAGACACCCAAAGAATCATAATCTCCTTCATTCTGCTTCTAGCAACAAATATTGCAGTTTAATTATGTAACATTTTAAAATATCTCTCAAATCAGATGATGATTTTGGACATGTATCTTAGGCTATACCCATGGACTGAACTCATTTCAAGCAATTCATACAATAGTGTTACATTATCATTCTACTTATTGATAAGGATTAACTTTATAATAATTGTCTCTTTTAATAAAAACACTTATAAGAGCAAAACCTCCATACCCAACATTGTTATACCGTACTATAGCACTCGGTTTCTTAAATATTAATGAATAAGTAAAATATTGAAAAATGTCTTTAAAACTGGTACCTGCTCTTAACTTATCAGTAGGCTTGTGCAAAAAATGTAATTATTCAAGAGGGAATTAGCTCAATATTGTTATGGTCATCAGAATATGAATAAAGTGCTATCTGGTGGTCTATGATCTCCACAAGATATAACGTGTCATAAAAATAGCTTCATTTGAAGTTATTCTTTATTCTGAAAAATTTTCAAGAAACAATAATTGTGTACCTTTTATTCATAATTATCTAGATTTTATTTTTAGACTTACAAAATCCACATGTATACTCTATTTCTTATCTCATTACCAATTCTTTAAAATTACTTATAAAAAATATTATTTATTTTTTTTTGCATATTAAAGCCAACAGGAAAGTTTGTGTAATAAGTAATTGCTGAGAAATAATTAATTTATTATTAATAATAGGTAGGCATAGTTTACTGTAACCAAAAAATTATATCCTGTATGTTCATTATTGCAATTGATGTTCAACAACCAGATCTTTTGTAAGCACAAGAAAATAAAATATTGTTACGCCTCTGTGTTCGTTTGTTAATTTTCCGTAAAAATTATTTCCGAAG